CCTCTTCCTCCTCCTCCTCCTCCTCCTCCTCCTCCTCTTTTGCCCTGACTTCGGTTGCCGTCCTCTCGTCTCGCTCGCCATCTTCGCGTCTTGTCTCTTCTTCGTCAACTTCGCTCTCGCCTTTCTCCAATTGGTCACCTTCATCGTCGTCGCAATCGTCTTCCACTTCTTCATCGTCATCTTCCTCCTCATCGGTTTCGCCGTCGCTGTCGCCGTCGCCGTCGCCGTTGCCACCGCACGCGGAACTGTCCTCGTTGAGGCTGCTCTCGGAGCCGGGCAGATATTCGCCGTTGGCGCCGAACCGGCCGCCCAGCGACGCGCTGCCGCCGAGAAGGGCCGGACTGAGACGCTTCTGCTTTTGGCGCCGGTTGCAGAACCACACGCGCACCACCTCCTTCTCGAGGCCGAGCAGATCGGCCAGTTGGGTGATCTCTTGTGCCGCCGGTTTGGGCTGTTTGAGAAAGTGCATCTCCAGCACCCCCTTCACGCCGACCTCGATGCTGGTGCGCTTCTTGCGCTTCCGACCCTGAGCCGCTATCTTGTCCAAGTTGCTGGCCGCGCCCGTCGAACAATCCGCCTCGTGCAGCCATTTCAACAGCAGCGGCTTCAGTTTGCACATGTTTTTGAACGACAACTGCAGCGCCTCGAACCGACAAATCGTCGTCTGGCTGAACACGTTGCCGTACAGCGTGCCCAAGGCCAGACCGACGTCGGCCTGAGTGTAGCCCAATTTGATGCGGCGCTGCTTGAACATCTTCGCGAATATCTCCAAGTCGTCCGACGACGGAAAGTGTTCACCCGCCTCGACTCGGCCCTCTCGCGTCAGCTGACACATTGGACCGCCGGTCTCGCCGACGCCGACACAATCGTTGACGTCGACGAGCGGAAATGCCTCGCCGTTCACTCCGGACCCCGTTAGTTGCGATGGCGGCGGCGGCGGCAGCGGCGGCGGCGGCGGCGCCAGATCGCCGGTGCACAGACCGATCGGCGAAACGAGGCAGAAATCCGCCTCGCCGTTCTGACAGCGCTGGAGGAGTCGAGCCGTCGCAGTTGTCTCGACGGACGTGGGACTCGGACTATCGTCGGCGTGGCGAGTGAGGAAGGGCAGCAGAGATTGGTTCGTCTCGGGCCGGACAAACGTGATCGGATTGGTCAAGCCCAACGAGATGGGCGAGAACAGGCCGGCCGCCTCGCCGTTGCCGTTGCTATTGTCGTTGGCGTTGGCGTTGGTGTTGTTGTTGACGCTGGCATTGCTGCCACCGTTGCCGTTGATCACGACGCCTGTGGCCGGCATGAATGCTGACGACGAGCTGATTGGCACGGTCACCGAGTAGCCGTTCAAACTGATGCCCATTGCGCCGACGCCGACGCCGACGCCGACGCCGACGCCAACGCTGGAGCCAGAACTGGAGCCAGAGCCGGGACCGCCGGGAGCCGACAGGTCGTAGGCGAAGCCGGAGCTACCGGCCGACTGGACGGACGAGGCGGACGAGGCGAAAGGCGGTGTAAAGTCGAGTGTGCTGCTCGAGACGGTCGAGAGGCCACTACTGTTGCCGTTGCCGTTGCCGTTGCCGTTAGCGTTGACGTTGGGATTGGCGTCGACAAGGTCGTTGGCCAATCGGAAAGCGAGAAGACTCTCCGACTTGGCCTCAAAGTCGCCGAGGCTCGGCCAATTGTCGAGTCCCTGCCGGGCGTCGGTAGCCACCGGCATCAGGTGACTCGCCGCCTCCGACTCTGACTCATCGGCTCCGGACGGTCTGCGTGTGTGCGTGTGTGTGTGTGCGTGGGCGTGGACACGAGTGTGGCTGTGGCTGTGGCCGTGGGTGTGGTTGTGGGCGTGGGCGTGGGCGTGGGCGTGAGAGTGTGTCTCGAGGTGGTTGGCCGATTTGTCCCGAGCCGCTTCAAGACTGGCAGGTCGAGGCTGTACCGGAAGGTCTACTCCCGTCGCCGGAGTCAAGTAGCCGCAGGCTTCGGCCATCGGACTGGCCAATCGGATTGAGCAGCTCGGACTGTGTCGACCGACGGACAGTCCGTCGGGTCGCGTGAGGACGACGTCGACGTCGACGAGCTCGTCTGCCGGCCGGTAGGCGTAGACGGAGTGTACCGTCGCCGCCGGCGCCGAGGAAGCCGAGGAGGCGGCAGATGCGGGAGCGGATGAGGAGGCGGAGAATGCGGACGAGGAGGAAGAGGAAGAGGAAGAGGAAGAGGAAGAGGAAGAGGAAGAGGAGGAGGAGGGTACAAGTCGGGTGGAGGGGTGGCCGGTGTAGTTGACGGCGAGGGAGGCGTGATAGGCGAGCATGGCGCCGTCCAAGTCGACATGTTCTGTCGGCGAGTTGAGGCTCCTCGGCGTCGGGCCGGACGAGCCGAAGCTGAGAGGGGCGAGGGGGGCGAGGGGGGCGAGTCGACCGGCCGAAGGGGTGGGGGAACTGGCGAGTTGTGTGTAGTCCGAGTGGGGGCCGGCAGGAAAGACGGTGGCTTCTGCTTGATCGACCGACGCCTGGAGGAGGGCCAGGCTCTGAGGGCTCCAGGCGGCCAGTTGCCGTGGCAGCGTCGACATTGGCAGACAGTCGAGGTAGGCGGTTGGGGTGGGCGAAGCTGGTGCATCGTCCAGTGCGATTGAGGCGGTGCTCGAGATGGCGCATGTGGCGGAGGTGGTGGGTGTGTCGGGTGGGGCGGCTGGCTCGGCGGTGGGCAGTTGCAGAAGCAGCGGATCGGTCGGGTAGGCGTCGACGTCGGGACGAACGGCGAAAGCGGAAGGCAACGGCAACGGCAACGGCAACGACAAGGGCAACGGCAACGGCAACGACAAGGGCAATGTCAACGATAATGGCAGAGGCGGTTGAGGCTGTGGTTGTACGATCGGCCGAAGGGCGCGGCTGTGCCCGTGGGAGTTGACGTTGACGTTGGCGTGTGCGTGTGCGTGGGCGTCGTGGTCGAGGAGGGCGTGACAGGCGGTCGCGTAGACGTTGGCCTCGGACGAGTGCGGCTGGCCAGAGGGGAGGAGGCCGGCGTCGCCGGAATACGAGGCAGAGGCGAGAGCGCCGACCGAATGCGGGTAGAAGTGGAGGTAGCCGGTGGCCGGTACAAACTGCTCATCCATTTGACCCAATTGCACTTGGTGTTGTTGCTGTTGTTGTGGCTGGGGTTGCGGTTGCGGTTGCGGTTGCGGTTGCGGTTGCGGTTGGAGGTGCTGTTTGTCCGCCTGACTCGTCTGGCCTCGCAGCGTCTCGCGGTACGCCGAGGCAATGTGCAAATGCGACTGCTCCTCTGCCTGCTGTTGGTGCTGATGCTGATGCTGATGTTGATGTTGATGTTGAAGTTGCTGATGTTGCTGATGTTCATGCGGATGCTGATGCTGATGCGGATGGTATTGTTGGTGTTGATGCTGAGATGGATGCTGCTGCTGATGTTGGTGCTCTTGATGACT